CTGGAACCTTATCGCCTCATAAGACTCACATTTTCAAATCAGGGGCTCTAGAATACAAAACGGTATGCATATCTTACTCCTCAGGGAGCGCGATGGTCAGTGAATAGGGAGCGGATTTACTGACCAAAAGGTCTGTGGTTCGAACCCAGCCTCTGCCTCCCGACTTCCCCTGTTTAGGCCTGGGCAACTTGGCAGTATCCCAGCGTTCTTGCTTCCTTCGGGTGGCATGACACCTGGACACCGGAAGGGGGCTGGGGCTGAACGATCTTATTCCTCAACCAGACGTTCCACTCCCAGATATTGCGCGCCCTTTTATGCTGCCTGATGACACCTAAGGTATAAAACGCAAAAAATGTATTTTCCCGCTGGTCAGGCGTGAAATCCATACACATTGGACCTAGCTCAAGTGCTTACATATGTTAACCGATCATATGTTAAGCCGATCAAGCATCGTGAATCTTGTCCTGCTTTGTGAACACTCGCTCACTAAAAAAGGCCTAGTTATTAACCTTCTATATATGGCAACTACGTAGCTAGTGAATTCAGCCTCCGTCTGTCCATTCCAGCAACAGTTATGTGGCTTACAGAGCAGAATAATATGGCTTTCACACTAGAAAGTGTATCGGCTCTTGGCCGAGATTTAAACTGCAATGGCGAATTGCAGCTATGCGTTTCGGAGAGGAAGGGCATAACAACAACATTCACAGCGCTCATTTGTAGTTGACGTACTATAAAGTGTTTCAAAACTCCCGTTTGTAAACAGATAAATAAGGAGTTATCACACGACCGAATGGGTGAAATAACCGGAGAAAAAGTACTTACTCACACTCAAATGGGAACGCATTATTGACTGACCGTTTTTCATCATGCCACCAACAGACGAACCTCGCTCTTCATATTGTGCAGGTTTTTCGAAGTTTCAGAGAGAAAGTGATTTTCGGAGGTCTCCAACCTCGCTTGTTATCAAGAGGACTCGAAAGCGGAGTATATGAATGGCGAATGCCACCGCAACTGCCACAAGCAACTGAGCTAAGTTGGTTGATTGCATTCTGTGTGGAGCCTTTGGTACGGCACTTTTAAATTATCAACCCATGTTTAACAAAAGACCAGATTTCGCAGTGTATTGTATCTTGGTTGCTATTACCAACAGAGTCTGTAACAGCAGAATAGGTTGCCTTAAGCGAGTTAACCGAGCAAAGGAAGAGCAAATATGTTCTTCAAGTAATGTGAGCAAAGTTACTTCTCTTCTGATACTCCCATGATTGGTTGTTTAATCAACTGCTTATTCTTGAGGCTACAGCATGCATCCGCGTACCGCGCAATGAATGTGGTTTGAACTTATCACGAAAACAGCTATGGACTGAACTCAGTGAACTGGTGAAGGTTGAAAACCACCACACACCCAATGACTTTTGATTTTGTGGCCGTGCACTTCACTTCGACACTCCAACATTACTACAGGTGACTCTTCAGATGGTTTATTCGATCACATCATTTTTACTCACATTCCCACGAGCTCCTGTTAACGGACAATTAGGTCATTATATCCTCGGGGATAGCGTTGAATGTATTGAACAGACATTGCCGGCAAACGAATGGTATCACTTGATGTGGAATAATTTTCTACCTGTGTACTGGTTAATCCAACGATTCCTATCAGAGCAGGATCTCTTTGGATTGTGTGATTAAAAAAATTGCACTTTTTCCTTGGAGGTGGACCATATGGACATGGAGCCAAAGTGGTCGGCTGTTCTTTTTCAACGTAATTGTAATTACTCCAGACGAGAAATTAGCTGATCCCATCACCAGTGCCATCATACTGACGAAACATCTGTTATATGCAATTACTTTGTGTTTGAACATCTAAATCCCTCACGGCCCGGCATCAAATTTCCTGTTGAAAAAGAGGACAATGACCTGATTTATCGGAGAATCCGATAGCTCCAAAAAAATTAGCCTAACAGAAAGCTCACAGTTTGAGGATTTGTCTCTCTCAGTAATAAAGACATCCTGATGCGCACACTTATTTGTGGAACACCGAATATTCTCTCCACACATTAACGAAACTAGCGCCCAGCGAATAAGGAGGGAAGCCTGGGGCAAGCGATATACCCCAGCAATTTTCCACCCTGCCAAGGGCATAAATAGCTTTGTAGCCAAAACAGAAATTGTGCATCTACCTATAAATTGGCGCTTACAGTTTGCAGTACACCAACCTACAACCGGTTTGGTCCCTTTGGCAAGAAAAACAAACATACTGCAGGCACCTGTGAAGGGTAGTCTGCCTATTCTATCTACGACAAACTGGGCCTAAGCATGTTAATATATGTGCGGTAGTAAGTATGCAGGTGAAACAAATAGGCGACTGCCAGTTCTCAGGTTGCTATTTCCACTGGCCAAAAGTACTTCCAAAAATGCTATCACAAAACCCATTGCTTATATACCAAACTGCACCGGCATAGATGACTCATTCCAAATTGTCAGCTGCCAAATCATGGGGTCACTCTTTGGTTGGAGAATCATGTGGTCGTCGGATGTCTGCATCCCAACTTGTGTGTCCAGAAGAACATGCTGGTGATCGTTTTCGAACATGCTAGTGATCGTTTTCGAACATGCTGATGAGTTCAACTATCCTGGAGTGAAGTAGGACACACAAAAACCGGCTTCTTGTCAGGGCGCGCCCAGACAGAAGAAAAAGTACATGTGCAGAGAGTGACGCATCCCCAAAGTCATCATCGGTTCGACACGTCTGGAAAGTAGGTGAGTTGGCGGCTCTCACCAAACGGCTTAGCAACAGACGACCAGCGTAGTGGGCCTGAGAATGTTCACGACCGAAACACCACCATTGGCTGTAAGGAGCGAACAAGTGACCGACCATATTTGGCCGTTTAGTCATCCTATATATTTACGTAGAGGCTCTGTACGTTTTGTCCTGGCAATACAGCCGTGTCCCCCAGTTATCTGTCTTCTCCATATCGCGTAGTCTGGCAGGCTCAGTGCTGTCGTAACCAATAGCTGGGCCACCGTCCTTCTGTTATCTGTTCATGTCTACTCCCAACCCATTTAGTGCTGTTTCACACATTTCTGACAAGCCCAGAACCCCGAACTTTGTTCCATTTTTACTCACCATTGGGTCATATCCCAAAAATCACTTCCTCACTCCTTCTTGACGTCTAATTTCGTGTTTCCTTATGCTTTCAGTATAGATTTCATAAGTAATGTGATGACAGTAGATGGTCAGTTGAAGCATCTCGAAGTTCACAAGCGTCAGCAACTTTGTTTAAATGATGCTTATTCTTGGCGCTTAGTTTGAGTTAATCACTTGGACCTGGTGCATCACAGTAGCTAAACAAATATCCCTGATCTTGTTCAAAAGTTCGTGACATTTTTTTCATGCAAGACGACACGTCTCAAGCAAGGGCAAAAACTTACTGAATAGTCTGGCAGACTTGGATTTTCAGGTTTTATCTGTCACCAGTTGACCACGTCAGGCGAATCTTTGATGAGCAAATCTGACGTGGATTTTGCGAAAATAAGCCAGTAGGACATCTAATGATTGAACTCTCAGGATCTAGTCCATCTAATACGTCTCAGTTGCTTCAGAATGTTCGCGAATTTTTCACAATTTTTCATCAACAGCTTATCAGACGATATCATGTACCGCTAAATTAAGCAAACACCTAGCGGTATTTTCATTCATTCATTCATTCATTCATTCATTCATTCATTCATTCATTCATTCATTCATTCATTCATTCATTCATTCATTCATTCATTCATTCATTCATTCATTCATTCATTCATTCATTCATTCATTCATTCATTCATTCATTCATTCATTCATTCATTCATTCATTCATTCATTCATTCATTCATTCATTCATTCATTCATTCATTCATTCATTCATTCATTCATTCATTCATTCATTCATTCATTCATTCATTCATTCATTCATTCATTCATTCATTCATTCATTCATTCATTCATTCATTCATTCATTCATTCATTCATTCATTCATTCATTCATTCATTCATTCATTCATTCATTCATTCATTCATTCATTCATTCATTCATTCATCATTCCATTCATTCATTCATTCATTCATTCATTCATTCATTCATTCATTCATTCATTCATTCATTCATTCATTCATTCATTCATTATTCATTCATTCATTCATTCATTCAATGAATAAATAAAGAAGCAACTGGTATTGGCGAACACTTGCTACGTTTTCCGCATCAGTGGTGAGTTTTGACCCGCAGATGTTCTGGTAGGGACGTCTCGTTCTCACGTTTTTATCTCTTGCAATTTTTCTTGCACCTACATTGCAGAAAACCTTACCAGTCATTTTAAGTACCGCTGAACGGAAGTCATTTAAAAATGGATTAAGTTAAACCTATATAATTCCAGCGAGTTATATTACTGAATGGATTTACCGTACTGCAAAAAGTGTTTCCTGGAAGTAACTCTTGTAATTCGAACCCCCTACAAGCCAAGTTACATTATGCTTGCACCTAGAAGTCCTGTTTACGCCTAAAGCGGGTACCTTTTCTAAGCGGTTTACACTCATTCGGTTTCTCTCACTAATTACTGCTTAGTCGCTGGCCAAGCAATGAGCAGTCTTCAAAAACCAGGTCCACCAGTTCGTGTTCCCCAGACCTAGGTATGACACTTGACAATCACTTGCCAAGAAACGATTGTACTAGTCACGAAATCAAAGACCTAACCATTTGCTTGCCCACTTAGGTCAACCGGTGACCTGGAAGCGAGACAGAAAGCACGCAAACTTACGCGTGCAAACAGGTCGACAGAAGTGGGATTCGCCGGGACAGTGTGTGTGTGTGTGTGTGTGTGTGTAGTATTCATCCACCTACGCAAAGATGCAACACAGGTCACTACCGATTGGTTACCGAACCGGTGGAACACAATGAAAAACAAGCAACTATTCCTAACCGGGAAACTTAAAGTACCGGCACTTTTATGTGCGTGAGTAGCAGCACCACACTAACAACACGCGCGCACGCGATACCGCCACCTCGTGACGCCAGCGCCGGTCGTAGTGGTACAACAAAACCCGCCGACCCAGAAGACGCACACGGCGTTTGACCGAGGCGTTGAACACGGGCAGCCTTAGTGCTTTGCCTCATATTTAGCCGAGTTTATCAGAAGCATACCACCATCTGTTTATCAACATTACAAAGCACAACGTCTTTGAAACTCAGCGGTATTTATTCAGTGACGGCTCCCACTAAACGTCATCCATTCATTTGCGCTCATACTCAAACTCGTCGCTGTTTTTTGCCAAGTGAAAGCTGGATCTGAGGTGACAACACGTGTCAGGAATCATGCGACGAAGAGTCAGACGATGGTCTGCGGCTCCATTTGAGTAAGTCCTGCATCAGCAATCTGTTATGACTATCTGAACAGTCTCAATTTCTGAGGGGATTGAAATACTTACTAATTTATAGAAGGAACAGTAGAATACTTTAAGCATGCGTATTTTGCTTTGGTTACCGGTATGTTCAAAACCTTACTTAATAGGAGAATACGACTTCTGAGATTGGTCGGTTGGAGAAATGTGGATCTTCGACTGTTACTCTATTTCCTGTGGGGCAATTATGTGAGGTCTAACTTCACAAGTCTGCTTTGGTTTATGGCGCATATCAGCACTAATAGCATAGCTTTCGTTTGGTTATCGGTAGCTAGTGAGTTCTATCCCCCTCACCAACTTGGGTTGATCACATCATTTGTATTACTGCTACTTGAAATGTTCAGTCGATCCAAAGGACATCGCGGAAACAAGATGTACGAGAAGCGTCCGGCTTATTCTTCATAAACAATGCTATAATTTTCTGGCTGGACTGCCCAGCTAAGATTCACCCTCATCATTGTGTGTTGGACTACTGTCAGATGGGATCCACGAAGACAATGTGTCGAGGCCGCAGATGGCGTCAAAGATGTAGGCGTGTTTAGAATACATATGGCTTGTTCGCACCAGATACTTACCTTTCCTTTTGAATCCACTCTTCACTAAGAGTTTCTTGCCTCAAGGTTAATGAGAGCAAAGCGCCAGTATATTACCGACGTATCACTGTCGACGATGATAACTGCCTTGATCTGAATTTTAAGCTTGTGCTGAGATTCCGCTCTTGTTAAAATGCCGACATCTGGCGGCCTCGAGATCAAAATTCTCGACGACGGTTTTGTTCACTTCTGGACTTCGAAACACTGACTATGCACGGGTGACACCTCATCAGCTTTCATGTTTCAGGCTCTGCCTATTATACGTTGGACTGAACAGTTATCAGATGTGTTCATTTTGATGCTGTCCAGAGGTGTGGACATCCTATGCTTGATCGGCAACCTTAAGGACACATGGATTCTTCGCACTAAACCCCTACCCTCTGTCTA